CAAGTTGGGCATTTAAAAGTGCTACCATCCACTTCCAATCCAACTGAGCTGAAAAAAACAAAATAGTTTCTACCTCTGTCCTTGAGTCCCCCTGCCAAGCTCTGTAGTTTTATAATTGCATTTAGCTATTTCTTGAAGACATTTTTCCCCTTACTGTTAGGTGAAAACCCTGTACCAACAGAAGGGGAAGTAATGCAACAACATGAGAGAAACAGTGAATCTATCTATCCACAAATTACAGACAAATGCACTAAGTAATTACACTCACAATACAAAACAATGTTTCTGTTTCTTTTAGGCAGAGTAAAAGTTGGTATTATGGGTAACAGTAATAAATAAAATACAGTTCATAATAAAGTATTTTTCAAGTGGATGGTATCTCTTTGATTACCCCATAATATGCATAATATGCAATTATTACATCACAGCCATGCAGACCTCTTTTTTAGACAAAAGTCCACACTGATTTAACTCCCCTCTAACATTATGGGTTGCAAGGTTTATTCAATTGTAGTTAAATTACATTTAATTTAATGGGACTTTCATTTATCTTTGTTTTTGTACTGCTTTTGGGTTCTCTAAGGCTAACCTGGTATTAATATGCTGCATTTCTTTATGGCTTTTAATCAACCCATCCCAAAGTGCCTTGTAAACAGCACTATGAAGCAGGTACATCATATTATCCCATTAGAAATAGGGACACTGAGAAGGAAGGAGCTTGACCCTCCAAGTCCACAGCAAAGCTGGGCATGGAAGAGAGCACTCTCATTCTGAGGCCCCTCCTCCTCATTTGAGAAGCAGCTCAGGTCGACAACCCATTGAACTTTGGAGGTGATCTGCCTGCTAAGCTGTGGCACATTTCTGATTTGTGGGTTTCTAGTCTGACTTGGCTTCATTTTTTAAGTTTTCATTTTCTTTTTAGGAAACCAAACTGTTCAGGAGGTTTGGCAGCTGACGGCTATTAACTGTCACACTCCAATAACCAGGGGATAGTTAGAACAGCATTAAATATTTGCACTGTGCAGCAGGGCGATACTTCATCTCAGCATATAGGAATCCCATGGTCTATTCACACTGGAAGGAAACCCACCTTACCGCTATTCAAATCCATCTGTCTGTCTCTTCCCATACTGTCATTAGGCATGCAAGGCCTGTCTATGTTATTGACACAAACAAAAGCATTCCCTTTAAGCCAATTCCAGTAACACCTGAAAAAGGTAAGACACAAGACTTGTTGCTTTGCTTTATTTGGTCTTCATTTCCCAGGAAGTCAGGTTACTGCAGATCCTTATAAGAGACTACTTCTCAGACATGTCTGTACCCATCACATGCAGTGATATAACGTGTATCTAATAGCAGCAGTTTGTGTAACAGTCAGTGTTACTAACACAACACTGACTTTGTGGGTAAAGTGGCTTTTAGTTACAGACTTGTCTGTTCTCTCTGTTCCTCAGGGTTAGATAGGGAAGCTTTGTCTTAAACCCTAAGTATTTTGGCATCCTTGCTCTGCCATTTTTATTTTTATCTTTCAGGAAAGAAACTAGACATTGGGTATCCCATATTAAAAGGAACATTTCCTTTGGCCTCTATAGGAAACATTCACAGCATAAAAAGAGTACTGTTTGACACAGACGTCAGGTAGCATTCATTTTAGATTAGCAACATTGCTCAGAAAAGCCTTTGCAGGGGATTAAACCCAGAGAAAGATGCTTAGGCACTAACTTCTCAGCCATTCTGAACCATTCACAATAGACATAACTATCTCAAAAGGTCTTAAGTGTGAGAATTATCTCCAGGAAGTGAACAGTGAGAGATAAAACAATAGGCTCATGCTTTAATACATGCAGTTAGCACTGCATATGTTCGTTTTCCACTTAATCTGCAAGAGGCTCAGACAGTAGCACTGAGTGCCCAAATTAAGACTCTTTCTCCCTTTGATCTTTTGTAAAGACTAATGAATTGTATAATCTCCAACACCTTTGAAATCCTGCTGGTTAAAGGAAACTATCCCTACCTTTCCCATGCCTGTCTCAATTCACTAAATGGAAGCTATATTTAACAACAGGCCAATCACATGATCATTGAAAAGGAACAGCACAAGGATCAGTAATCCTAATGCTCTGAAGCTGCTATTGCTATAAATCATTTGCAGAATGATTTCTTTTAAATCCTATATATGTCATCACTCTTTTAATTAATATTTCCCTGAGAAAACTGTGGACAAGACCTCCTAAATTATACATTGTTTCCAAACTTGTCATATTACAATAGCTTGTATTTCTATTGTATTTTCCACTTAGGTTATTTCAATATAAAGCTTTTTTTCCTTTTCATTTCTTTTCCCTGCTACCCCTACTTAACAAGGGAATAACAGTTAGCACTATTTAAAAAAAAACCCCAAACCCCATCTAAGGTAAACAAATACTCCAACAATAGATCCTACAAAGCAAGACAATTTAAAAATATAAAAGAAAAGTCATGGGGATACAATAAATAGTACCGCTCTACTCAAATACTTACTAGTTTCATCAATTGCACTCAGCATGCTTCTTTATGGATAAGGGAAACTGAGGTTCAGAGAGGTGAAGTAACTTGCTCAAGGTAAGAACATGAGTCACATGGCAGAAATGAGTACACAACCCAGTTCTCCTGATTCCCAGACATATCTTCAAGCCCCTGGCTTGTGTAGATTATGCAGCACGACAGACATCATTCTGCTGCCTTAACTTCAGTGATGCATGCTTGAAGTAATATTGAGCAAAACCTGTGTGGTACAGATCTTTCTGTGGTACAATATGAATTGTAAACCAAGGTGTTTATGTGATCCTATGATGTGTCCAATGGTTACAAAGAGATGGGTTTCAAATGAAACTGTCCAGGTCTGAGAACTTCAAGTTTGATTGACAGTTTAGTTTCAGTGTCAGGCTCACTTGAGTTCATGTGGCAGGTTTGGGATGTCTGACAACAGGACATGTCACAGGTTGACACGTCTGTCACAAGGCCATTCTCTACCACGCTTCTACATGGAGGAAGTCAGTAGAAGGGGGAGGGGTAAAGGGAGGGGAGCAAAAAAGACTGACACAGATGCTTAAAGGAATCCAGAATGAAAACATTAGTCATGTGACAGTACATTTGGAGATTATTTTGTATGACTTGGCAAGCCAATTCTAAGTATCTGCATGTACTGAGAGGATTTGTTGACAGATATCAGGGAAGTAACAAATGGTTAAACACAGCTGGTCAGATTCTGATGCTCTTACTCAAGTTTCGTAATCATCTTTTGGTTTCAAATGATCCTCTTCAGCTGATTTGACACAAAGATCTGCAATGTCATGAGCCCAAGGTCAAAAAGCATACCCGTGGCAGAGCTGGTAAGAGAATCTGAGTCCTGCTACTCCTGATATTTGAACTGAGAAGAAATTCAGGATACATTAAAAAAAGGTAAAAAAAAAATCCTATGTCCTTTAGAGTAATAGATCCTCCTCCTTTTACTATGGAAATAGGATTGAAATGGAACATAATTAATATGAAATGAGGCATATTTCCATTTTAAATCCTATTGTTTTAAATGAATCATAACTACCTGGGTGGAACAGAGATTACACAGAATTAAGTTGTTACTAAAGGGAATTAAATGTGCCACTGAGTGCACTGTAATAGAAATGTTGGATTTAACCATTAGAACATTGGTCATTTCCCTACTGACAGCCAAATCCATACTTACAGGATGATGTGTATCTGTATATATCTCCACAGGTTAAAAACATGGCCTGAAACACATCCCTACTCTGACAACTTTTCTATGACTTAAATGTATGACAATGAAGATGCATCATATTATAATATTAAAATTTAACAGTGATATGCAACTTCCTCTGTGCAAGCTACAGTCTAAAATATAATGCACAATGCCTTCTCTTCCAATTGTGTTTGTGTCATAACTACAAAGATGGTTACTGTCATTGATACACTTGCCTACACATGGAGTTAATCAGGAACAGCTCTTTCTGAATAACTCCATGCATCCACATGCTCTGGATGTGAAACCTTTGGAGTTAAGGCCAGAAAATAAAAGCCATGAGGTCAAAAAGCATCTGCTGTAAATACACATTATCCTAAGCTTCACTAAACGCTAGATTGTAATTGCCAGGCACCAGTCTGCATCTGGGGCAACTCCAAGGGATATTTTGGAAAGATCCCTAACTACTGGATTCCCCAGTACAGTGGTTCTCAACCTTTTGTGACCAAAACTCCTTTAAACACATTAATGGCCAGTCCTGACCCAGTACCCCTCACTCCCTACCTGCTGTCCCCTGCCCCCAGGCCCCAGTCCTCAGTGTTTGGGTCAGGGGGTGGTGTAGGGCATGGGGGACCCCAGGCAGCCCCTTGCAAACTGGAACTCTGACAGCCTGCAAGAGAAAAGCCATGGTTTCTCTCCTTTGAAGGAGAATCCATTTTTAAAGTTTATTCACAACCCTTTCATATATTTGTGCAACCCACTTTTGGGTCGTGACCCATAGGTTGAGAAACGCTGCCCTAGTATGTAGCTAGAGAGCCTGTGCATTGTCTTTAAGGAGGTAAAGCCTGCTGTCTTCTCTGGATCCCACCAACTCTATTGGCCCATACACAGATGGGGAACAGAATCTCTTCCCATACCTTGTGTTAGGGGTTTCATCTCAGCATGTACTATCAGAAAACAATCTCTGTACTTAGGAGAACTGTTTGGCATCCTTTGGCACTGAACCTTAACTTCTAACTTTTCATTTCTTCTGTGGTAAGAATGCTACACGGATGAGAAAATGAACAACTACTACTTTCCTTCCTTCATGCTGACCTCGTTCCTGAGACTGAGCCCAGCATCAGTGTGGACATTGAAAGCTATAAATAAAATATCAGCCTTATCATGTGTTGTGGGTGGAGCATCTGTTTCATGAAGGTGTTTGTACAAAGACTGGATCCAGAGCATTAGGATTATTGAGCTCTCGGCAAAAAAAAGCCAGGGCATCACTGTATGACAATTTATTTATTTATCAGTATCAAATTACATAGCAAAGTAATGAATGCAAGTGTCAGATAGTCTCTTTTGAATACTGTAATAAACAAAATCCGGCATATTGTTTAATTATCCCAAGTAAAATACACATTGAAAAATGTGCGTTTCAGAGACTCTGTTTGGCATATCCTGGCACAATAACCTGCATAAATAGTTCTGCATCTCATTTCATTACATGTACCGTAGTTAAATACCACCTTTTTAGAACGCTTACATGGAAGAGTTAGCATCTATCCATATGTTTTACAGTCATCAGCCTCTGCCCTGAAAGCACTGAAAGAGTACCTATCTTATTGGCCAGTCTGATTAATACACGATACAAATTATGCAAATAATGGAGCGGAAATTATCAGCCAGATCCTGCAAGCTACGTCTGATCCAGACTCACTGACATCAATGGAAAGATGCGGAATGAATTCAATTAACTTTGGATCAGATCCTTAAATTATTGGAAAAATATTTAATAACTTCAATGGGATCATGAATGACTTCCAGAGGCCAGATCTCTGCACAGTATTACATAAGAAGATCCTTGTGACCTGAGTCTCGCCACATGAATCTCATTTTGAACATGGGTTTGACTCCATGTATTTAAAAGGATTTATTCCTGATTTGAACTACTGTGAAATGAAACTGAGGCTTGTTGATTTTGCACATGAAAAAACTGAGCAGGATCTGGTCATAAGAGATTATAACTACGTTACTCAAGTGTGGCATTTACATGGGACTTTCTTATAAACTCTGTAAATAAAAATGTTTTCCAGATTGATGAGAGAATCAGCTTCACTTAACACTACAGCCTGTAAGTTTAAGACCAGTGAGACATAGTGGTGTGAACAGGACAAGACCACTGAAATACACATTTTGTGGAAAGTCTAATGAACAGAAGTACAGAAGACTTGATGCAGGTAATTGAGGTCGAGGAGGGGAAGTCAGAAAAATTTAGGCAGCAATCCCATAAACATACAAGTTTTTTTCTTGATCCCTCAGTATCAGTGGAAGTCGGGCTTTTCTGGGAAAGTACAACCAGAACGCTTTATGATTACACTGGCTGCATAATGTGCAGCTCGGATGCACTCAGTCAATGGTCGATCATAGACAAGTTGTGAGAGAAAACCTGCAGAACAAAAAGAAAGGGGAGAGAGGAGAGAAAATTATTAGATTTTGAATATGTTGTAATCCCCAAATGGGCAAAGCACTTCAACATAAGCCTACATACAGCCCAACTGAAATTTGGATTTAAAATTAGGCACATGTTGAAATACCTTGGTGGACTGGGGCCTTTATTTTTACTTAAAGTTCTTATCTAGTAACTTCAAGCAAATGGCATAACTATCAAAGCAGCTTTCTACTAGTGGCTTCAAATGAAATGATCACACTAAGTCCTTTGCTCTCCTTTTTTTTTTCCAGAGGGAGCCTCTAGTACCCTCTAATCTCATTTCAAAAAGTAGAAACAACTTTTCATATTGAAGCGAGTTCCTTCTTTCCATGCTGGCTACATGTATATGTCCATGGACTTATCACTGTGCATTCCAGCGTTTAAGAAAGTAAACGCTTCCAATGTAAATGTTGCTTTTACTTGCAGATGCAGGTGTTCAGAGCAAAATCGAGTGAGAAATTTTAAATTGACCAGGAAATTTAGATGGCAACTGATATTTCCTGCTCATTAGGGAGTGATTTAATTCAATGGATACTTCACATTAGGCTCCAACATCCACGTTTAGGCATCCAAATATATGGCAGGTTTCCAAAGAGCTGAGCACTCAACACACTGGAAAATCCTGATACTAACTTAAATACCATAGGCTACCAAACCATACCAAACACTGTGAACAAAATTGATCTATCAGAGTTCAGTACTCAGGCCAATTATCTGAGATGTACATATGAGGACGGACAGATCTAAATGTAACTATCTTGGTGGTTTTTTCCTAAGGAGTATGAAGTTAAGCATCAATGGAATTTCAGCAAATGAATTCCTCTAGGGCCTGTGAAAACCCTAGCCCCATAGTTGAGACTTTTGGCCCTGATCAGTGTACATGCAACTATACAACATGACAGCATGGCTGACAGACTGACAATGCTTACTGCAAGTGGGAAAGAAAACATATTGTATAAATAGTTTGCAATAGCTTGAAATGGGAAGAAAAGAATTCAGTAATTCATAATTTAAAACCGTAATATTTCGAATGCATTCAATACATAGACCATGGCTTTTCTCTTCTGCATCCAACCACAGGAGAAAAATCATTCCCACTCAGGTAAGGTGACAAGGCAGGTAAGCCCTAACAGGGGCTTTGTAAGGTTTTCAGCTTTTTATTCCAGACCTTCATTTTCACCTTTTCAAGTCATCATATCATGTTTGAGCTCCCTCTGGGTTTTGACAGCAACAAGATTAGTCTCAAAACCATGTCTAAAAAGCTCAAATCTACCAATTGCTGACATATCAGAAATTCTGGTTCAAAGACAACGACGTATTCTGCTGGGTGTTTGTTATTGTTGTTGTTGGGTTTTTTTTTATAAAACCCTACACATATTCTATATTCAGTTTGCTTATTATCATGCTAAACACCCTACATGTTAACATAGTGCCCAAAAGGAAGATCATTTTAATTTTATTTGTATTTCTTCTTTAAATATTTATTTCTCAGTGGGATGTTCCAGAACTCCCAGAACATGATACAAACATTCTGTCCTATGTAATAATGCCTTCTGGTAATTTAGAGACATATAATATAAAAACATTACATAAAACATGAACATTAAAAAAATCTAAAGCTATGGATAATACCAATGAGTAAAAAATGATCAGTCAGAGCTTACTAAGTTGCTTATACTCTAACAGTCATAACCAACAGAGAGAGTAAGCCTCGTTGAAACTCAGAGTTTTCTCTACATTTCAATTGTTGGAGTAAAGGTTGATTTTTTAGTTAAAAGCAATTGACACTATAAATCAAATACTATAGACTTTTCAATGGAATTTTGAGACGGTTGAAAAAAGGTATTTTGGTTAACATCCATAAAAGAGTTGGGATATGTTCTGACATTAATTTTTTTCTAGGGAAACCCAAGTCGTTAGTTATCCTATTTCACAGGCATCAGTGGCTGACACTGGCTAGGAAAAAATATCACTTCACTGACAAACATAAAGGACCTAAACTTAAGTGAAAAGGCAGAAGTCTTCCATGCACAAGGAGAAGAGTCTGAAATGAGAGGGAATTGTGCCATGAACATTGTCACCAATGGCAGTCTGTGGTCAACATACCCCCCTACCGGGGGTTAGAAGAGTCCATCCACCACATTTGGATAATAGTTCAAAAATTCAAACAGCATGTCTGGCAGAAATCAGATGGTTTCTGAATATGGAGATGAAAATAGTCTGCTCTCCATTAAATTAACATGCATTCTTAGAGGAAACTTTCCTGGCTACATAGAGAATGTCAATCACTAAATCTGAACTGCCTGGGAGGCATGAGCTTGCCAGGAAGTTTCTGGGTGGTTAAAACTTGAGAGCTAGTTGTATCCATATACAAAATCAGGTGGTTAAAAAGTCCATTTTTAAATCAGTGAGTCAAACAGATTCATTGGGCAGGCCTCCAAAAATACACATACATCTCAGCTCTGCAAAGAATATGAGTCCAGAAAGGGTTTTTACACAGGGATGAAAAATCAAGCTCTTTGTTTACGACCAGTTCTCCCAATATACTTGAAAGTTATATGAAGGACTTCAAAGAGTGTTTAATATGAACTGTACTGGGGACATAACTGCTTCCAGCAGTTTAAATCAGTGTATATCCATTCACTCCAGGGTAGCTACTCCTTATTTACTATAAGTGAGATCAGAATCAGATATAACATCAGCTGGTGTAACAATTGAGCCTGAGTATGAGAGTTGAGAATGGAGATGAATCTGTAATGGATTGATAGTGAGTTCAGCTGCCACTTGGGAGATATAGACATCTGTGGTAGAAAGTCTGCCCCAGACCATTCAAGACCAGTCTGGAAAGTTTCTTTTTAAATTATGTCTTTTTTTACATTATTAACAAAGGAGAATGTAGCAGTATTCAATGTAATAGCACATCCAGTAACAACACAAACATAAATTGCAAACATATAACCATATCACATACTAGGCACAGGCAGTTAGCAAAGTAGACCCCTGGGAAACAACAGAAAGCACTCATTTGAGTTGAGAAACAAAGAACTCAGTCAGGCTGCCTGCTTTAGCTGCAGAATGTATTCTTAAGTATACTCAATACAGACAATAAAATTAAAACATAATTCTGGGCTTGGCTTCTCCAATGTGTAATCCTCTACTGCAAACACTACAGGGATCACATCTTCAGCCCTGCTGCACCCCTTCTGCAATGATTCTATGCCACCTACCCTAGCCCCTCAAGGGCACAAAGGCCACGGCTATCCTCCTGCAATTCTGGGTTACAGGAATGGCTTTCCTAGGTTGTTGTTACCAGCACATGCTGGAACAATCCAGAGGCTACTCTTGTTTCCTGGCTCCTCTAAGGATCGGTGAAGTACAAAGGAAGCAAAACATCTTTGCCATGTCTTACTTAGCTGTGTCCTGCATTTAGTACAACTCAAATGCAGTCGAGACTATAAACATGTATATCAACTCAGACTAGCCTGAGGTGATATACTGACTTTGTTTCCATTTTTAAACTTGTTTTTCAATGACAGAGGCTGTGTCAAGAGCATGTCCAAACTGATATTTATTTCACATGCTATATATATGCAAACCTCTCCTGGTCACAGTATTTGGGAGGGGAGAGGAAGGGGGGGGGGGGGACCAGACGGACTCCACC